ACACACCCACACACACACACACACACACACACACACACACACGCACACACACACACACACACACACACACACACACGCACACACACACACACGCACACACACACACACGCGCGCACACACGCGCCCACGCGTGCGCAGACACACACCTCTTTCTGCATGGTGCAAAAAATAGCGTGTGCTTGTTACGTCTTGAACGAAAGTGCATTAGTAACAAATTACAGAGCTGACTATTAACTTCCGGTATGCTCATGCGCTGCGTGTGTTCGCCGTCCGCGCGCATGCGTGCACGCGGCGTGTACGTGCGTGCGTATATTTATATGCTCCAACGCATATTTCCGTAGAATACCATCGCGTTATATATTTCACACAGTCGCACAAATCGTCTGGAAGGATTTGCGCATAGTCTGCATATTTCCGTCGAAGTTTCGAGCAGCCTTTGTTAGCCTTTGCGATTCGCAAACTTCACCCCCTCCCTCATATGTTTTGGCAATACATGCCAAGCTTGACCGCGCCGCAAGCCTAATCGGAGATGAGAACAAGTCGCACCCAGCTTAGGATCATCGCTAGCGATTCCTCCACCTTCGTGTGCCGAACGCTTGCAGTAGCGTTGCGTAGGCGCGCACTCGACTGTCGCTCGGCTGATTCTTTGGGTTTCCCGCCAAAACTGCGCGCGCACGTGTACGACCCGGCACCGCACCATTCATGATCGCCGCTCCCTGTCAGATACAGCCGACGAACTAATGGAAAGAGTTTACCGCATTCTTGCCATCCTTTCCTAATGGTTTTCGCGGCCATTCTCCCGCGGCCGAGCGTCCACGTTGTTTTCGTATTGTGTTAGGCCGAATTCCGTAATCTCCGCAATATAGCTACGAGATATTGCCAGTGTGGGGTTTCACGCGGTGCCGCTCGCAATAACGACGGACCGCATTGTGACGGGGTAATACTCGTAGCTGTCGCGCTGCGTATAGACGGTCCTCTCTCGCATTCCTGCAGGCTCTGCTATCATTGTGTCCTCACACGTATTTCCGCGGGATAATTTCTGGGAAGAATTTCTATTCTTATCCGGCACGTATCGCGTGTGGAAATCGGGATGGGGTAAGCAGGAAAGCTATGAACTCTTTGCGCTGTCGGTGTAGCGTCGCCGACGGCTGCTGTGGACAGCGTTCCACGCGTCGCCCTTCGTCCCTGTATCTAACATCATGCGTAGTTTGTTACCATACCGACGAGTTCTCTTGTGATGGTCATAATTATTTATGATGTTTTTGATATCGGGCCCCTGGTGCTTTACGTGATTCGGTGAGGTACGCAGCATGTGACCCCACGTCATCTGTGATCGCCAATCTGCGTTTAACGCACGCGCTGCGTCACCATTCGTGTTCCGTTACCTTACCTATTCTCGAAGGCAGATCGGCTCATCACGTCATTGATTGATCATCGGTTATTGATATTTCAAGAAGTTACAAAAACAAACCGTGTTTTTAATTCACTTTTGATATTTTATTACCTAGCGTGTTCTTTCCGTGCGTGGTTTGTTATTTTGCGTGTTCTTTTACCTGTAACGTAATCTTAATCTAATCGTGTAGTCTAATCAGTCTGCACGTATATAGTGTCTACGTACAAGTATTGTTATGCGGGAACTATGGTTATTTATGTATATTATAGTCAACATATATCAGTGTTGGGTGTTGCGTTGTGACCAACTGGGTACGAACGGTGTAATCGAATGCGCGTATGCCCCGTGCCTGCTCATCGACGCTCTACCTACCATGATTCTGTGGCCTTTCTGAGCAGCAATTCTTAGTTACCATTTCAATAATATATACAAATATAAATATATATATATATTGTAATTTTCTAATAAGTACCGTATTATACAGATGTAATGTATTATTATATAGAACTCGTGTAATTTTAGTGCTATATGAAATGTCATTTCCCTATATATAATTACATACTATGCCACCTCGTATAAGCAGACATTGTATATTATTTGTGCATTCTATATCTTGGCTCACTCTGAATCTGCCACCTCTCCCCCCTAAAAAGCGCGTGGAATTAATACCTTTCCAAACGGTCAACTGTGCAATAGCTCATGGAAACTCACATGGATGACGCAAGAGTATATATATATATATATCAAGAGTACATAATAGAGGTTTACTCTATTACTCTATTACTCTATTACTCTATTACTCTATCGCAAACCGTAACTCCGGCTCTGGTAATCGTTACGTGCAATCATCATATTTTGCAATAAACATCCTGAACACGAAAGTTTTTATGTTTCTAGTGAAAGTAAAGATGAGTTATTAATACGTTTCACTTAAAATACCTGCTGGGCTCAATGCTATACATGTGATATACAGCGCACGATCACCTAACGATGCCTACACGTCTCAGCTTGAATACCGACGTGTGTACGTCAAACTGCATTCACGTCTTTCCTAAAATATCCACGTCTAACGGGTGATGTACCTGCACGCCCCACCTCAAATACCTGCAGTGACTTATTTCAATTCTTACACTTCAACCAAGAATGTGTGCTTGCTTTACCCTTGTTTTACACAGTCATCGCAACTACCGCATTCTCACAACGACGACGTATTTGTCATCAATCAGTAACACTATCCGTCATCATTCCTCATCTGTGAAGGTATTGCAAACATTCGCATTTTTCAAGACATACAATCATGCTAACCTTCCATACTGAGTTCATTGTCGCACCGACTGCTGCCATCATAGCCGAGTTTATAGTTTTTTTTTAGTTAGCCAAGCACCTGCTGCGATGCGTGTACACAATTGAACGAAAACTGGATTTTCTCACCAATTTCCGAAACGTCCACGTACACACGCACGCACGCACGTGGCGTGTGTGGACGCAGGCTGTTTAGCCATAGCAGAGGACAATCGCCTTTATTTTCATCGTATGTCTGTTGCTGTTGTTGTTTCTGCTGCTGCTGTTGTCGCCGCCGCTACCGCCTTTGCTGCCGCTGACGCCGTCACAGACACCTCCCCCAACCACTAATAATAATACTAATACTAATATTAATACTAATACTAATACTAATACTAATACTAATACTACTATTACTAATACGGTAACTGATGCCGTGTCCCTAGAGACGACTTTTCGTGTAGTACGCCCGACCTTGCTTTTGCTCCGAGCCCGGGGCCAGCTGCAAGCTCACCGCTCAACAAAGCCTGATTGACTATTTCCGCTGCAAAGACACACTTCTGGGGCAATTTCTGGCGACAAAAAACCTCCGCAAGTCGCCAATCGCCCACACTTAGCATTCGCCGATGCCCACGCACCGGTCTGCGCTCCTCGCTGGGATAAGTCCCGTCGGGGTAATTACTCACTTCCTTTGCTCGCGCAGTCTTGAAACCTCGGTCAGCGCGTCCGAGCGTGCAGGCTCAGCGAGTGTACACAATAGCGGCGACGGGGGCGCACAACCCAAAACCGTAAAAATGCCAACAGCGAAATATGCAGCGGCGGCAACAACAGTAACCGATTCTCTAGCGTTGAGGCCTGCCCACGCGGCGTGGACGTGGCCATCGATGCCTGTGGTCGTCTGCTCAGCTGCCACACGCGACAAAAAGAGCAGCGAAGAATTGAAATACGTAGTAAGTAGCGAGTTCTCTTCTAATCACAGTCCTTTTTTATTTTCTCAAAATATTACAAAAAGGTTTTTTTGCGGCTCGATATTGTCTAGAGACATTGTGACATTGCATCGCTTAGATCAGACTGCATGTTGTGTGTCACCTGCTACTTAATATTCCGGCTATGAGACGGACCCGATTCTGTTCATATGTTACAAAATCGGGAATTATACTTACACCGGCTGCCCACGCCTCACCAATCACCGTCACCGAGATAGTAACAGGAGAAAATAAATACCACAGTAAGTGCATTGATCACAAGAACGGCATCGTTCAACTTAGCTGCATTTTTCGTATGAACAGCGCTCCTGGTGGGTAACGTGCAGTCACAAATCCATTCACTCAGAACGTCGTTACGGATGAAGCACGGCTCTCACCCACTCCACTCACTGGTATTATTGAAACGACTGCAACGCGCACTCAAGCTAAACAGCTCACATGCATCTGTATTATTATATCATGCAGAACGAATTCATAACATGTTATTAGACGGGCACTGATATCGTACAAAACCATTAACAGATCGTATTGTTCTTAAGCGCTTTCTATCATTCCGCCACCGTGAACGCTGTGAACTCCCACATAGATAGCCAGTATGACACTGATTGTACACCAGGGGCTCATCCTAATATAAGGAATCCATTTAAAAACCACAACTAGGCCCCGTATATTATTTAGAACAGCATATTGCTTATTTATACTCATCACAACAGAGCCTACCCGCAAACAGGCGACACTTAGCAGTGTATTAAATACATGACACCTATCGATATTCAAACACATCTATGTTTACAACTAATATGTGGTGATTACTTATCCCGAGCATGCAATAATATTATACCTAAAATATCTTACAACTTAATAATTATTATTAATTGTAGTAGCTGCGCTCAGCTGTAGGCATTTATACCACCCAGAGAGACACTGATGTTGCTACTGGAGCTAATAGCTGTGCCGTTACAAGCTTACAAGCTCTCACAATACGCTGCAAAATCAACTTCTAGTTTACAACACGTTGCAGCAGATGATAACGCCATCTATTACGGACTGCATAACTGCGACTCGCTTGGAAAACTCGTGTATAACATTCTGTTAAGAGAACAGTATTTACATATTCTACACGCCGTGCATTGCCGCAATCGTGGAAAAATATAAATAGTCTGGCATGGTCCCTTCAAGAACACAAGAAAGGCATGCTGCCATGCATTCACAACAAGAGTCAAATATATCGGCCAACCGGACCGGTAATTGCAAGAAACGTCAACTATATTTTACAACACCAGTTACAGTTACTGATTGCACCAAGATGATCCGAATCGTCGGTACGCAGATTTACGGCACGTTATAATACAAGCTTCTCCATGCTGACTGTACTGGTTGCCGTATCATCGACTGTAGCTATCTCACTCACCAGATGGAGCCACGCACATAAATCCATCACAGTCATACAGGTGAAAACACTCCAATTATCCGAGCGCAGAACGTTGTTGACATTCGTGTTGACATTGTTGACAGCACATACACTGCATACACTGTTGACACAAATTCTAGAGCTTGATAGTGCTACATAAAAATGCCACTAGACTGTTAAGACATGTAATTGGCAGCACTGTAGCAGTATTACAGGGTGTATTGCTGTCATATAAGAGACATAAACAGCACCTGGCAGCATCTTTATGAAATTTCACCAAGCCCTAAAACTGGTATCACGGGAGTATACGATAGATACTCTGCTTATCGGATGTGTTGTTGCTATCACACGGCCACAGGTATGCGTAAAACCGCAAAACAGTAGCATGTCACCGATTCACACACATGCATCCCAGAAATGCAAATGCTCTACACTTGTAAAAGCCTACACACGTTTGTGAGCACTCATGTATATGAATGCACAATGCAGGCACCCAGGGGCGGCTCACACTAGTCTGTAGAAGCACTCGTTCGTAGTCACTGGCCTTCTAGAGACACACATTGGCTCACAATAAATTACAGAGTATCACCAAGTCTCACACTAGACTGCTGAGGCACTCGTGGGCTCATAACTGCATGTAGAGGCACTCACGGACTCACACCAACCTGCAGAGAAACTCATGGGTCCATACTATAGCATGTAGAGTAACTCATGGGTCCATACTATAGCCAGCAGAGAAACTCATGGGTCCATACTATAGCCTGCAGAGAAACTCATGGGTCCATACTATAGCCTGCAGAGAAACTCATGGGTCCATACTATAGCATGTAGAGAAACTCATGGGTCCATACTATAGCCTGCAGAGAAACTCATGGCGTTTGAGAGACACACCTCACACCAGCGTGTCCATCTTTGCCTATAATAATGTGTCCATGAGAACGACCAGTTCCCTGAAGCGACTTCCGAGCTTTCCTGACCGCTTCTTATCCAAAAGTGGACGGATAGAAGTGATGTGGCCATAACAGATTTTGCACTTGTTTTGTCTGCAAAAACAGTCAAACAATGAACAACAATGAATTCAACAAGTGACAGTAGCAAGTACAGCCAAAGGAAACAGAGGGCAGCTCATGAGATTCTAAGAAATGCGGAAAAATTCAAGGCTACTTTACTGTGAGCAACAATATTTATTATTCCATTAGGAAAGGTACAGTGCATGGCAGGTTACCTTTCCTCTCTGGAGATATCCACACCAATGCCCGATCCAGTTGAGATATTCGACTTTATTATAGTGCCGAAGTTCTGTAGAATTATTCTAAACGCGTTGCAACCACATATCACATAGCTGAAATACACAAACAATTCACTCGTTTTAAAACAGTGAACGCAGAGACCGGCGAAAGAATCGGGATACCGTACTTAATGAAAACCAACCAGGAAACTTAGAACAAGAGCTCCAAAGCAAGATCAGTCATCTTACAGCTAGTGCCGCTAGCAGAGCTTGTTTGTACACTGCCACTGCAACTACTATGGTCGGCACTGTTGCTGCTTCTACTGCTGCTTGGTCTACTCACACTGCTAACACAATACTATTATGCAACAGAATGTCCGAGTAAAGAACAGTCTTCATTTTTTTATAGTGACACGCACTTCTTAGGGCGTTTTCAGTTCATTTCACATATTTCTCTCGCCGTCGCACGGCCCTCACTGACACGTACTGTTCATACTTGCTCTGCAGCAACTCTGTGAGTTGCGTAAGAACCAAGGCACAAAGGTCGAGATTCCACCAGTGGTCCTTCCGGCACATCAAGCTCATGAGGTCCACGACGACGGAGAGGTCATTCATCGTGATGGCTGTGTCTAGCGCCGTCTGCAGGACGAGTAGGCAACAAACATGTGAGACGCATCATTCATTCCATAGTAACAGAGGCACATATATGTAACCGGGTGCGTGATAATAATTAATAAAACACTACTTAATTATCCCAACAATAATTATAGATTAAAGATAGATATTTTCCTCCCTTGTAGATATAATAATAGCAGTGTAATTATTATATACCAAGAGCTAATAATACACGGTGTATAACGAGAAAACGGGGAAATAGTGATACTTTATGACAAAACTACTATATTACAAATGCAAGTTCAAAACAAGGTAATAGTATTGCATTACATGGTATTCTTTCCTCGCTAAAGCAAGACTAACAGCTTGTCTCTACGTCATTCCTAGGCTGAGATATTGGATTGTAATCTAAGCTCATACATGTAATACTATGTAATCTTGCCATAAAGTAGTAATATTTTTCCCGTTTTCCCGTTATACACTTTATGTATTATAAGCTCTTGATTATACGTTACAGGTAACTTCCGCAAGAAAATGTGACGTAATATCACTGAATCACAGGCAAAATAGGGAGGGGGGGAATAGAAAAGAACAGACACGAAACAATCAAATTTGCTAGGGCATTAAAGCATCACACGTAAGGTGTGTGCACGTGCGCGTGTGGATGCTGGGCGTGCTTACCCGAACGTCTCTGTTGGTCCACATGGTTCTCACGACCTGCAGGTTCTTGTGTCTGGTGGACAGCACGGCAGCCATACTGTTATGTTCCGTCAGCACTGTCGCCATGGCTTCCTCTTCAGAGATACCCCTGCCCGGTTTATCCATCATCTGTGCCTGTTTCTGGGGGGGGGGAGAGGTGAAATAAAACAAGCAATCGCTGTGTAAGAAAAGGTATCACCAGCATTATGACACTAACGATTTAAATTTCTGGCCACGGAAAAATTATTATAAACAGCACGTCTGTTTAAAAAACGAGATTTTGAGTTTGACAAAAACCTCTGCAATCTAATGCAAGCGGCAGATTTCCATTTCTCTGGTCACCATGAAATAATATGCACACCATATGTCTATAGAAACTTGGAAGAATAGAGTTTTGCAAACTATGCATTATCCTCCACATACAGACAGGGGTGGCGTATGTCTCACGGTAACAAATCTCAGGCATTTCATGTGCCCCTGCTTGCTGCACAGGGAGCATATGTTTGCCAGCTCATTACTACACAGGCGACTTACAGGCAGAAAATCATCCATGTTGAGTCCGACAGGTTTATGCTTTGGAGTTGGAATGACGTCCGAGGACCTCAGCATCGTATCTGATAACTGTCGCGTTATGTGTCCCTTCCTGTCCTTATCTGGAGACAGCAGAAGAACAGTATGGCCAGTCGCATCAATTTCACATAAAAATAGCACACCATGTACACTAAGGGCAAGCCCAGATAAGCGCAGTGTATAGGTTTCACTTACAAAATGTTTATAAATGATGTTTATTTAATTGTGTGAAGACACACATGATGAGAAATCTTCACTATGCATGCATAAATTATATATGAATTGTGAATATTCCAAACTGTATACCAAGTATTATGAGTTTTACTAGCAAAAGAGAAAAACGAACAAGGTAATACAACAGAAAACGAAATACAAATAACTAATATTGTTTACATACTTAATTGACTCTAAGTATTGATTGAGGTTTAAATTTATGCAATATTGTAATTATACGTAAATGACTTTGCCTCTAGAAACACGTGTAGACATTGACATAAGACTCACAATTCAATGTTTATATATTATAGTATGTAGCCTGTCAGATCAAAACATGCCGTAGGACTCAATTCGGACATTATGAGTTAGTAGTTTTATCAGAAAGACCATTCAATTCTGGTTATTTTGACACCAAGATCTTCTTCCTAGGTCACATGGTTCGTGAGTAGTTGAGCATTTGAGTAGTTGGAATCGGGCAGATTTTGGAAAACAAAGTTCAGAGTAATTAGGTCATACAGTTAAAGTTTGTTTTCATTTGGCCTTCATTTGGACAAAAATCTGAAAAAATATCTTACTGCATATTACACTTTTGGCCAGTTTTATTGATGTAACATCGAACATGGATAACTACTAAAGGTATTTATGACAACAAAAAATCGGCTTTTTACTACTTTTAGGTGAAAAATCACCTATAACTCAGAATGAACATTGAAGTCCTACGGCATGTTTTGCTCTGACAGGCTACATATAATATATATTATATTATATATATATTAAAAAAGTAAATAAAAATACGTATGGAAGCTAACAAAGTGCATGTTGCCATTTTATATCTATAATAATGGCTTAAATACTTAACAGAAAACACCACCACGTGTTACGTGCCTTTTGATGTTACACCAACCATGCCCATAAACAGAGTGCGAAGCTTCGAAATCATCTAACCATATAAACCACCAAGTTGTGCTTATAGCCAGAAAGTACACTGTGTTGTTACATGTCAATGACGTGCCGAGATCCAGCCAGCTTAGCAGCAGGTGCGCTGCAATTGCCGGGAGAAGAGATATGTGTAGGATACAGAGGACATTCGGACTGATGTGATGGTTCTCTTGTAAAATTATTCACGCTCAATGCGTGACTCGCGCCGCCAAGTATCGAACAGCTGTGAGATTATGTGCAACTGCTTTGATCGATTTGCCGATGCTTGTTCATCTACGGTTCCTCACAGAAGTATAATTATGCTAAATTATGAAAGCAAATCATAGAAATTTACGGAAGTCACTTACCACCGCTTCTACTGCTTACATCATTAGGAATTCATGTGCGTAAAGGATTGTACATGTGATAGTTGCAGAAAAACTGATCATGACAGCTGTTGCTATCAGTTGTTCATGACAACATAATTTTGTAAGAATGGGCCTATTGATTTTACATGCTGATGTAAATTATGTTAACGCTCTGCATTTATGTAACATATGATTTACAGTTGTTACATAAATTAGTTAGAGACGCGGAGTGCGGCTAGACTCAGGATTGTTTTGGTGGTAGTCTATGTAGACAGAGCGTCGCGCATCTTGTGCGGCTAGATTGATGTTATAGGGAAAATGGTAAACGTGTTTTAGGTCGGGCGTTTCTAGGGTCATTGTGAAATGGAGGTAGGACGCGGTCTGGGAGAACGGGTGACATGTGCGCTCAGGATGTAGGGGTTTTGGGGGTAATATATAGGACAGAGATGTAGGAGTCGGGGAGTCTGGTTGTGGTCGCAGAAGTAAGCACACGCGCTTAGGCGAGTGTGCGCGTGTCTTTGTCTCTCTGTGCAAGATGTGACTACACTGTGTGCAAGTTATTAAAGTTTATTCAGTTTAATACACAAGTTTGGATTTCTACTTCATCATTTCTACATGAACTCTTAATTCAACGTTACATTTTGATGCCAGTGACAGTCCAAAACCTGGGTATTCCTTTGCGGACGCAACGTAAGGTACTCCACTATGTCGATCTACGAGCCATACTACGCAAGGAAGATGGAGAAGGAAGAAGACACAGGAGGAGTCGCTGAATACACTACTGGCAAGAAAACTGGAGGGGAAACGGAGAGCGAACAAGAGAGCAAGAGAGAGGGAGGAAGAGAGAGAGAGAGACGGAAACAGGAGCAAGTGTAGGAGAAACGAAGAACGACGGAGAGCGATCGACAGAGACGAAAAATGGCGGAGAGCGAGACGGGAGGAACAGAGCGAGACGCGGGAAAGAGAACGGTGGATACACACGGCGTAGGAACTACTGTGAGTAAGTCAGCGTGAAGGAAGGAACGGCCGGTGTTGTATTCGTGATACTGCGAGGGCAAGTCCAAGTCTCGACCTGTGTGTGAGAGAGAAGATAGCAGAACAGAGAAGGCAAGGCTGACAGAGCAGAGACAGAGGACGTGAAAGATAAATAACTGTAATGGCTAAAAAAAAATCCAGGGAATTCTAGAAGTTAATTGGTGAAACGCTTTAATCTCGTGCCGTCGAAACTGGACGTGAAAGGGTGACATCATCAGGAATGTGCATTTTTATCTGTTTTTCTTAATTTTATGTACGCAGTTTTTTTTTCATGGTATGTGCTTGTGACCGTTTGTATTTGTGTGGGAAAATCTTTTGTGTGAAACTTTGTATAGAAATGTGTGATCGTTTTCTTGAATTTGTGCTAACGTTATGTTTACGCAATATTGTCAGACTGCTAAACACATTTTTCGATTAGAGTTTGATAGGCCTAAAACATTTCATCGAAAATATGAAATCGGTTTTGTAGACAGAGCGTCGCGCATTTTGTGCGGCTAGATTGATGTTATAGGGAGAATGGTAAACGTGTTTTACGTCCGGCCTTTCTAGGGTCATTGTGAAATGGAGGTAGGACGCGGTCTGGGAGAACGGGGACTACACTGTGTGCACGTTATTAAAGTTTATTCAGTTAAATACACAAGTTTGGATCTCTACTTCATCATTTCTACATGAACTCTTAATTCAACGTTACATCTACGCATCTGAGAAGGTGTTTCCTAGGAAGGAGAGATCCTACTCTCAAATCATTTACATGTGCAGACTTCATCCATTCCAGCTGTGCAATTTTCATCATTTTATTTCGTATAGGATCAGCATTACAGTTAGGGTTAATAACCTTAAGATCAGGGCCAATGTTAAATAAACAAGAGCCGCAGAGCGTCTGGGCTCATCTGAGGTCTGGTTGCTACGATTATTAAACGTAAAATTTCAGTCAGTGCGTAGTACCACATTGGGTTAGACGCGCAGATATGCGAACGCAGTTGCGTACGCATCATTGTGTTGTTATTGGACACGCCCACTATCGCAGATGAGGGAGGGGGAGGGTGGGGGTGAGGGGTAGGGGACGAGGGTGGCGGACGAGGGCGGGGGGGAGGGGGGTTGGGAGGGGACGAAAGGGGGAGGTGGGGGGAGCGGGGGCTCTATAGCAAAAGCAGTTCACTCTGTGTTAACAGTCAACAAAATCCAGGTTTAACCTCCTTGAGGGTCAATAAAGGTTATCGACACTTTACTCTTCGCATGTCAGCAGAAGGGACATTTCATGGTTCCTTTCAATAAAAGCCATATAAAAGGCTAGGTCACGCTGAAACAAAAAAACGTTTTTCAATCGCGTCCGTCAGACCATGTCCTCAGAAAATGTCTAAAATCTGCCTGTGCCATTGACCTGTGACCTCCATTTCGGCACAGTGATGGCTTTTCCTACCATGATGCTATACACCGACTATCACGAGCCTAGGTCGAGCCGTTTAGATTGTGCCGCAATTATGCATCTTCCCTATACCTTAAGTTAAGGAGTGAATGTTCCCCTTCTTTTACACCTCTGACCTTTGACCTTTGACCCCCAGCTTCGACATCCCAACTCGTTTTGACGATCCCCCCAACGACCCGAATATCGTGACCGTACGTCGAGCGGTTAAGATTTGTGCCCAACTGTTGACGGACGGACGCTCGGACGGACGCACGGACGGACGCTCGGACGGACGGACGCACGGACGGACGGACGGACGGACGGTCATGCGATTCTACAAGCTGCATCTGACTATGTCAGATGAGCTAAAAAACAGGTTTAGATAAGGGTTAGACTTGATTAACGGTTAGAGTTAGTTAAGGGTTAGAGAAGCCCATCAGTACAAATGCATTATTATGCAAATAGAAATATGGTAATTGCTTCCTGACTCTATTGTATCTCAATTAGTAACTTCATGGCTCATGGAACTGTGCGTTGATTATTACTATGGAGCATATCAGTGGCAAGTAACATGCTAGACTATGGAATGTGTAGTGTGTGTGGATGTGCATGCCTGTAGACTAGCCAGAGTAAGCAAGTGGGTGTGCGTACGTGCGTGTGAGTAGTGAGGTAATGCATATATAAGTGAGCACTGACCCGCAATTCAGTTTGTTTAGCATTAAATTACAGTATTCCTTGACGGTGCAGTCTAGGTTCATTGCAGTGTATATGTGTGAGGCAGTCTAGGTTCATTGCAGTGTGTATTTGGGAGGCATTCTGAGTACATTGCAGCGTGTACGTATGAGGAAGTCTAGGTAGATTGCAGTGTGTGTGAGGCAGTCTAGATACATTACAATGTGTATTTAGAAGGCAGTCTAGGTACATTACAATGTGTATTTGTGAAGCAGTCTAGGTACATTGCAATGTGTATTTGTGAAGCAGTCTAGGTACACTGCAGCGTGTATGTGTAAGGTAGTCTACGTACATAATACTGCATGCGGGTCAGTCAGTGTGGGTTGAATTTACATGCGCACAGGGAAGGCTGTGTATATTGCAGTGCAGGTGCACGAGGGCAGGGCGGATGAGCACGTGCGAGTACATGAGCCAGCCACAGTAGACATTCTACTACAAACCTGGCGAGTGGTGTCTACCGCGCGAGTAGTTACGTTTCCTCAGCTTCTCTGCAGTGACACAGTGATTAGAAGTAGAATTAGTGCACGACGCAGAGCGATTAGTCAATATTCAGACAAGTCGATCAGTTCCTGAACGATCGATCAACCCTTCTGATTAGTCTGATAGAAATAGGTAATGTTGACTTAATCATGTTAATTGGGGGGGTTAATCAGCAGGGGTTAGCAGGGTCAGTCAGCTGAGCATACGGATGCAACATGACTACCTGATGTAGAGGACACAGCCTGAGTAAGGCGCGCCACGTTCCTTCGCTGTTTCTGCGGGGAACTGGTGCCCTGTGTTGCCTTCACAGGGGCATCGTCTGCCAGGTGCAAAATAAACATGACAACCTGACTCGCTACAAGACAACACCGCAGTGACAGCTGGCTAAACGTACTGCTTGAAGCACATAGTACGCAGTAACAATAATGTGCCCAGTCCTGTAAACGAAAGCATATCAGCAGGGTGGCATGTTGGTGCCATACAAGGAGCACTGAAAGAAGATCATTGTTAAAGACACGGACACAGTTGAAGGAGTCGAAGTCAGCGAGAGAGCATGAGAGTATGAACGAGGGAAACAGGACTCACCGGGGGACAGAGGACGCTGCACACGTGGTGTGGATGTGCTTCGCTTGCCTGTGGAGAATAAAGCGGCTTAAAGTAATATCATACATGTACACGTCATGTATGTATAAAACACGTAAATGTGTAACTAAAAAAACAAATAAATAGTAAATATACATGCATATATGCATGTGCGCGTGTGCCTGCCTGCGTGCATGTGTGCATGTGTGTGTGTGCGTGCGTTCGTACTTGTGCATGTGCATGTGTGTGTGCGTGCGTTCGTACTTGCGCATGTGTGTGTGCGCATCGCGCGTGCGTATGTGTGTATGTGTGTATCACACTGCAGAATATGCGTGAACATGCTCAGTGCATGGTCAGACCTACAATGTACATGGCAGGCTTGTGTATAAAACAATCTAGTCCACCTCCGACTCCTCCGCCATAGTTTCACGCATCGCACTAGCTACCAAGTCTGCCAAAGGCCAAAACAAAATATAGGTGTGGTTACGGTTTCCCGACCGACCCGATTTATTCCCAGCAACCCTAAACATTTTATTGTCAATTTTCTTTAAAGTCAAAAAATTCATTAATTAATTAAATTAAATTTAAAAAAAATGAATTGGACAGTTTTTGCTTCAAAAGCCACAATGCACATCCTTCGGACATGGTTCGTAAATAAAATATTTCAAGAAAATAAAATGTTTTCCCTACCTACCTACCCTATTTTTTTTCGGCATGTAACGGTAACCACACATATATTTTGTTTTGGCCTAAACATCAACGGCAGGACAAGCGCACTCACTAGGCTCTGCAGTCCTCAACCGGTTACTCTTGCGGCTGACCTCCGTATCCGAACTGAATCCACCTCCCCCGCCTCCGTGCCATCTCTTGTCTCCATCTGCCAACAGCAAAACGGGACGTCGTAACCGCCCTCCGCCTCCGGAACTGACCGACTCACCGTAAAACAGAGAGCACGACACGAACCGCAAGCAAAACCTCCCATCTTCCGTCATTACCTCCCTGCTGCAGTAAGTGCTCACATGCGCATGCAGTGCTGTAGGCATGAAGTGGGCGGAAGGAGGCAAGAGGACGAGCGAGCAGCGTGCAACAATAATGGCCGATCTACGCCGCGCTGACGTCCGTCGCCGTGAGCGACGCACGTTGCCTTAACGAACGAGAGCAGTTTACGTTACGACATCATCGAGTGAGAGAACAATCATCCGCACGGGGAATGCGTACAGCATGCAGACAGAGCGCGCCCTCTGCTCCTCGACGGCTTTGTGTTTTGTTGCTCCGTGGCGACACTCGTTTGCAGATTTGCATTCGCCTCAGCACGCAAAATGCTCACGATCCTTCTCTCTCCCTCGGTTCCTAACCCATCACAGTGTTGCTCTGGTATCTGATAAATGAGACTTGGCCGCCGTGTTGATTTTTTCATCCGCCTTGCTGCAAATTCTAGGCTCCCCCAAACCGTTATCCGGCTGCTGGCACTTTCCTGCCCCTGATTCTCCTCCTATGCCCCCTACCCAGCATTAATCAGTGCTGATACACGTTGAAGCAAACACCGCAAGCATGTGGCGACTCACTTTCGGCATCCTCGCTTATAATTTTCATCCAGGGGTAACACTTCTATCACAAACCTTTGCTTTTGTCAGCCTTCTCCCGCGCCCCTTTTGCCCTGTCCTTGTCTACAGGCGAAGTTGCCGGCTCTGCTCGCTTAGATACAAGAGCACTGGCCGATTCGCATTTCCTGAGGGAAGGTGCGGTCCCTGCTACCACCACAACAGGACCAGGAACTGTGCTGTCACCTACAGGCAATGGCATTAAGCTTTCACGCACAGTGTGCAGAGTGCAATAAAAGATTCCATCATTTTCGAGTTAACCAATGGAACCATGGGCGATTCAGGAGCGCGTTCTGAATATTCCCCTTGCACAAAAAATGATGGAACGTTTTTCTAACAGCCCTTTACCACGACAGCCATGCTCAACAAACAAGCACATTAGCACCCTAGAGAAACTATACCAAACATATAACAGTACTGATACGACAACAACATGGCCCCAAACACATTTCGGCACCCGTTTCTATAACAGCTGTGAGGTGAATACAAATACTCAATTAAAAGCCCTACTGTGTGCTGGCTGTGATGCAAGCCACGTGGGAATACACTTCCATGTACGAACCCATCGAACATTCATCCCATAAATACCTCCATTGCAATCCTCCGGCGGTGCTGCAAACGGCTGAGGGCACTTTGGAGGTGTGCGGCTCACTGAAAAGTGATCAAGAAGTCTGGTTGCAGATTGCAGATTGACAGGTTAATTTTGTCTACAAACATTAACATTACACTTTTTCTCCCTAATATGCTATACATCTACCTCCTCCTCTCCCCCTAGTTCACCTCTAACATGTTCTTATCTTCATCTTTAACCTCCTCTCCACTGTCTTCATACTAATAATATGCTCACACTTTTACAATCTCCCTCCTTCCCTACATCATACTCTTGCACGTACACTTCTTCAACGTCCCTTGCCCTTATCTCCAATCCTGCACTTTCGTACGTCATCCACCTCTGTCTCTTTGTCTCCACCTTACTCCTGCACCCTCACACGTCTTCCACCTCAGGGGTGAGGGTGAAGAGTGAAGGGCAAGGGCGGTGTATGAAGGGTGAGAGCAGGGTAGGGTGAAGAGGGAAGGGAAGGGGTGGCAGTGAAGTGGAGAGTGCAGGGTAGGGTAGAAGAGGAAGGGAAGGGGGGTGAATGAGTGTGAGAGTGGCAGGGTAGGGTGAAGAAGGTAAGGGAAGCGTGGATTAAGTGTGAGAGTGGCAGGGGTAAGGGGTGGATGAGGATAGGGAAGGGGGGTGGACTGAAGGTGTGAGGTGCAAGGGGTAAGGGTGGAGCCAAAGGGAGAGGGTGGATAAGTGCGACGAGTGCAAGGTAGGGTCGGAGAGAGGGAAAGGGAAGGGTGGATCACGTGTGAGAGGTGTCAGGGGGGTAGGGTGGAGAGGGCAAAGGGGAAGGGGGTGGATTGAAGGGTGTGAAAGTGGCAGGGGCGTAGCGTGGTGGACCGGAAGGGAAGGGGTGGCTGAAGTGTGAGAGTGCAGGGGTAGGGCGTGGAGAGGAAGGCGAAAGAACGGGGGGTGGATGAGAGTGTGAGACGTCAGGCGTCAGGGGAGATCGACCGGAACGGAAGTAGGGGTGGATAGAAGTGCGAGAGGTGCAAGGGTAGGTGGAGAGGAGGAGATAGTGGGTGCGAATGAAGCTGGAAAGAAGTGCAAGGTATGGTGGAGAGCAAGGGAATGGGGGTGAGTAAGTGTGGAGACGTGCAGGGGTAGGGTGAGACGAGGAAGGGAAGGGGGTGATGAAGTGTGGAGGGCAGGGGTAGAGGTGAAAGGGAAGGGAAGGGGGTGGATGAAGTTGTGAGAGGTGGGCAGGGTAAGGGTGACAGAGGAAAGGGAAGGGGGTGGATGAAGATGTGCAGAGTGCAGGGGGTAGGCTGAAAAATAGGAAGGAAGGGGTGGATAAGTGTGAGAGTGGAGGGTAGGTGAGATGGAGGGAAGGGGGTAGGAATGAAGTGTGGAGAGTGCACGGGTAACGTGAAGAGAAGGGAAGGGGTGGAATGAAGCTGTGGAGGAGTGCGGAAGGGGTAAGGTGAAGAGGGAAGGGGAAGGCGGTGGAGTGAGAGTGTGAGAGTGCAAGGGGTAGGGTGAAGAAGGAGAGGGAAGGGTGGATGAAGTCGGGTGCAGAGGTGCAGGGGTAAGGGTGGAGAGGGATAGGAAGGGGTGGATGAAGTGTCGAGAGTGCAAGGGGTAGGGGTGGAGAGGAAGGGGAAAGGGGGTGATGAAGTGTGAGAGTGCAGGGTAGGGTGGAGAGGAAGGGGAAAGGGGGTGATGAAGTGTTCGAGAGTGCAGGGGTAAGTGTGAAGAGAAGGAGAGAGGTGGATGAAGGTGTGACGAGTGCAGGGGTCAGGGTGAGAGGAAGGGAAGGGGGTGGATGAGTGTGAGAGTGCAAGGGGTAGGGTGAAGAGGAAGCGGAAGGGCGGTGATGAGAGTGTGATAGTGCAGGGTAGGGTGGAGAGAAGGGTAAAGGGGTGAATGAATGTGTGAAGCGATGGCAGTCGGGTGAGAGAGGAAGGGAAGGGGGTGATGAAGGTGTGCAGGAGTGCACGGGGTAGAGTGAAGGAGGAAGGGAAGAGGGGTGGATGAAGTGTGAGAGGTGCGAGGGGTAGGGGTGAAGAGGCAGGGAAAGGGGGTGATGAGAGTGTGAAGTGCAGGGGTAGGTGAAGAGGCAAGGGAAGGGGGTAGAATGAAGGTGTGAGAGTCGCGAGGGTGAAGGGGGAGCAGGAAGGGAAGGGGGGTATGAAAGTGTGGAATGAGTGCAGGGTAGGGCGTGGAAGGAGGGAAGGGAAGGGGTGGAGAAGGTGTGAGAGTGGCGGAGGGTAAGGAGTGGAAGAGGAAGGGCAGGGGGTGGAGTGAATGGTGAGAGTGAGCGAGGGTAGGCGTGAAAGAGGTAAGGGAAAGGGGGTGGAGTGAATGTTGAGAGTGCGAGGGCGTAGGTGAGGAGAGGGAAGGGAAGGGGGTAGATGGAAGTTGCGAAGAGTGAGGGGTAGGGTGAAGAAGGGAAAGGGAAGGGGTGGAGGGGTGAAGTTGTGAGAGTGCAGGGGTAGGGGTGGAGAGGGGAAGGGAAGAGTGATGAAGTGGTGAGAGTGCAGGGTAGGGGTAAGAGGAAGGGAGAGGGGTGGTGTGAAGTGTGAGAGGTGGCAGGGGTAGGGTGGTGGAGCGGAATCGGAAACGAAAGGAGAGAGGGGGGTGGAGTGAGAGTAGTGCAGACAGGTGCAGGGGTAGCGTGTTGAAGAGGAGGGAGATGAAAGGGGGAGATGAAGTCGTGAGAGTGCAGGAGGGTAAGGTTAAGAGAAAGGAAGGGGCGCGCGGTTGCTGATGGTGAGAGTAGGGAAGGGGTAGGGTTAATAGAGGGAGGAAGGGGTGGACTGACAGGTGAGAGTGGCAGGGGTAGGGCGGAGGAAGCGGGAAGGGGGTGATGAAGTGCGAGAGTGCAGGGGTACCGGTGAGAAGGGAGGGAAGGGGGCTGGATCGAAGGTGTGACCCGCCAGTAGCCAAGGGCGTAGGTGAAGCAGGACAGGGAAGGAGGGTGGATGAAGTCGCGATGGAAAGGTGAGGGTGGGGCGTGAGAAGAAAGGCGAGCCGGGAAGGGTGGATGAGGGTGTGAGAGTGGCAGGGGTAGGGGTGAGGACGACTCAAACAGGTGAGAGGAAGGGAAGGGGTGATGATGTGCGAGAGTGGCACGGTAAGGGTCGAAGGAAAGGAACGGGTGGATTGAAAAGTGCTGATGAGTGCAGGGGTAAGGGTGAAAGGAAGGGGAAGGGGTGAATGAGGCGCGGAGGCATCAGGGAAGAGTGCTCGAGGATGTGGGCTGGGAGGAAGAATAGGGGCGAGGACGTGAACAGGCGAAGGGTGTGGTGAGGAGGAGAGTGCATGAGGGTGTATAAGAGGAGGGGGGAGATGGTGAAGGCGGAAGGAGGGAGGGAGGGAAGGGGAGGGGCGGAAGGGGTGGGATGGGAAGTGCCCCGAGTGCAGGAGGGGTACGAGGTGAAGAAGCGAGAATGGGAGGGGTGGAGCATAGATGTAGAGAGTGCAGGGAAGTAGGGTTAGCGAAGGGAGAGAGGAAGGAAAGGGAGGTGGATGGAAGAGGTGTGAGAGTGCAAGGGTAAGAGAGGGTAGAGAGACAGCGGGGGGCAGACGGTCGGAGTAAGGGAATCCCGGAGAGAGAGTGGCAGTGAAGCAGGCGGGAATGGCAAGGGGAGTGCGGAGTGGCGGGAGGGGAAAGGGAAGAGGGAGGTAGGCGGGAGCGTGGGGCAGGAGGAAGGGACAGTGGAGAAGAGAGGGAAGGGGGTGGATCGCAAAGTGTGAAGAGTGACAAGTGTGGGGGGGCAGAAGAGACGGGGGGGAGTGGTTAGCGGTGGGGGAGTGGGGTGAGTACGAGAGAAGGGCGAGCGAGCTGGGGGAACGATTGGAGAGGCGGGGGATGAGAGAGGCCAGGGGTAGCGGAGGCGAGCGAGGAGAGGGTGGGATGGAGCAAGGCGAAAGGGGTGGTAGTTGAAGAGTGCAGGGGGTAGGGTGGGAGGAAGGTAGGAGGGATGGGCGCATGGAGACGATGTGAGAGTGGCAGGGAGTAGGAGACGGTGACGCGAGGGAGCGAGGCGAAGGGGTGACTGATGGTGTGAGAGATGCGCGCAGGGTAGGGCCAAGGAGGAAGGGAGGCGGTGGATGAAGTTGGGAGAGTGCCACGCGGGTAGGCGGCCAGAATGAAGAGGAAGCGGAAGGTGGGTGAAATGAAGTGCGAGAAGTCAGGGTAAGGGGTTGGAAACATCGGAAGGTAAGGAAGGGGGCTGATGAAGTGTGAGAGTGCAGCGGGCCAAGCTAGGGGTGGCGAGAAGGGAAGGGGTGGATAAAGTGTAGAGAAGTGGCAGGGGTAGGGGCGAAGGAGGACGAGGAAGCAGGGTGGATGGGAAGCTGTGGAGTGCAAGGTAGGTATGTGGAGAAGAAATGGAAATAGATGGCACGAAGACAGTGTACGCGAGGTGCAGGATAATAGGGTGAGACAAGGAGACAGAAGCGTGGATGACAGTATGAAAGTGCAGGCATTGGATATAAGGGCACGGGCAAGACGTGTGAACGAAGGTGTCACGTGGCAAGATTACGACTCGAGTAAGGGAAGCCCGACGCGGCCCCGCCGCGAGGCGAGGATTGTAAAGGAGTGTGTTGCTATGAATAGGCAGCTGAAGTCAGGTGGAGAAGGAGGTTAAAGGGATGAAGTATAGAACATGTTACGGAAGAGTGCAACTCGGGCGAGGCGAGTAGCAAAGCGGGCGTTCAGGAAGTTGTATAAGGCTATGTGATTGGGAGAAAAAGGGTAATTACATGAGTTTAGACAAGAATTAACACTCACCCGCGGTTGAAATCTGTCCAATCGGGTGCGATGCAATCGCAAACCAGCACAGTCTTGAATGCCCGATCTTTGCAAGCTGTGCACGCAGCCGGCACGA